GCACTCACTGGTGTGGCTGCATTAATATGTTAATCACCCCGGCAGGTTTGGGGATAATGGCCTTGCACGCGCAGGAGAATCTCATTTCAGCTGGTTCACTTTATTCAGGTTGATTTTCTTATCGATCACAAACCTTTGCATAACTTCTCCACAGCCCTACGAAGGGTAAACAATAGTTAACATTTGCCATCCCCACTTGTGTTCCTTGAGGGAGCAGATCCGTTCTTACAGCGCCGACCACCTGCACAGCGAGAAGCACCGGCGAGAACAAAGAACAGGCAGCATCAAAGGGAGAGCCCTGGATGCTGCACGCCTTCCTCTTACCCAGGGCTGTTATTTTCTACCTTTCTTCACAACAGTTTATCTCGAGGATATGCTGAAGAGCACAAACACAGGATTCCAGTATCTCCTCCTAATCCACTGACAGACAGATTCAAAACACAGAAGCAAAAATTCAACTGGTAGTTTACATTTTATGGACTAGCAAAGACTTAGAAAGTGTATGTGAAACCATACACAAGCACTTGCTCTTTTGAACTCTTGTAACTTCCATCAACATTTTGCATTGGTAAGAGCCTCACCTGGATTTCTATATGCTTTGCTCCTCATCTCTAAAGACGGAAAATAACACTTTATACTATTTAAAAGCTGTAATTTTCAGCACTTTTTGTGAAGCATGAAGTATCACTGTCCAACTACTGGTCTCTGGCACATTCCCAGCTGAATATTTTTAACCAAGGTCGTAAGGGGAAAGTAAAACAGCAAGAACAGAGCTACAAGACAATTTAGGAATCCCAGCTACTCAGGGCGCATACACCAGCTTCTAGCCCTTCTACAATTTAAGAATCCCAGCTATACACCAGCATACACCAGCGCATACACCAGCTTCTAGCCCTTCTTGATCAACAGATATTACTCCTTAAAGCTCCCCAAATTAGTTGCATTTTCCTTTTTTCCTTTCTTTTTTTGGTCACTGAATCAAGAGTTATCACAATAAACTCGAACCTTGAAACTGCTTAATTCCTCACCCTGGATGCTGGGCACTAATGTTGCCTCCACCTTTTCTTCTGCTCTTTCTTGCCCTTGAGGATTTTTTTTGTGGAATTGCCATGAGCTCCACCTCTCATCCTCCGCTCCCCCACCAAGATACACAGAAACACGAATGGCAGCGTGCAGGCTGTGCAGGGACACAGCACAGAAACTTGCACCTTTCACTCCTTTTCTATGTAAATAATGCAAGGATCCTGCGGGAACATGCCAGGGATTGGAATTTTTAATTAATGGGTCTCTTTAATGTGCAAATCAGGAGCAGATTGCAAATTCTGACTCGCATTGATTATGAAAAACATTAATTGAACGTGCAAGACCCCAAACAGAGGCAACATCTCAAGCCCTGCACTAGACTAGAAGATACGGTGCAAGAGAATACAAATGTATCTTGGAGGAACAGACCACTCCAGGCAACAGAACCTGCGAGATGGGAACGGTGGGAGTTCATGTGTACAGTGCATTGAACATTAAGCACTTGCCCTGTATTCAGAGCGTGGCCACTGTAATTTCGGTATTAAAAGACCACTCAGACTTTCTCCATGGATGCAAAACAGGAATAAACATGCGCTCCATGACCACAGTTTGGTCACCAATTTGTATGTAAAAAGGATGACATTAAAAAAAAAATCTGGAATATAATTAAAGATTAAAAAAAAAAAGAAAAAAAGAAAAAGTAAGACAGTGCAAACAAAGCAATGCTGTCTCTTTAAACAGAAATTCATCCTATATAAATTATGGCCATAAACTTTTCCTGCAGTGCAGCCTAATTAATTCTTGTTCTATACACAAAGGGAAATGCTGGGTGACAAATGGGTGTGAAGCCTGAAAGCTGCCAGGTCTGCAAAACATTTTCTACTTCAATTTATAAGCAATTTTGCAGTAAATCATCCACCAGAACCTGAGATCTCAGGAATGCAAGATTGTCCAAGGCATGTTATATCTTTTTAAATATTTTTTTCATAAAAAATTAAAAAATAATAAATTAAACACTTGAGTTTTTGTAACCTCCAATCTCAGAATTTGGGGAACTTGCATGACCTTACCATTTTTGCTCAGATTTGGCTATAAAACCTCAACTGTCCATCACGTTGCTGTCAACTCTGTAACACCATTTATGCTCGATCCTTTTGGGAACTGCCAAACCACCACTAGCTGCAGGAACAGAAAGTTGTCACGTATGGGAGGTACCAAAGAAGCAGAGACAAGGAAGGACTGTTTCCCACTTCAGAACATCCACTCTTCTTGTTAACGTGCAACAAAAGTTTCTTGAGCAATTGAAGTATTTAGGATAAACTACCAAAACCTTCTGGAGTGACTTTCAAAGAGACGCCCAGGGTTCAAAGGAAGCAAGAGCCCTCTGTGCCTGCCCACCTTCAAGGGGCTACCATTTAAATCGGGAGTTTGAATTTGAGGACCAACTGCTATGTGCAAACAAACCAAATCGTTTCCTCCTACTCAAGGAGGACCATGAAAACCTGCCCAGTTTAAACCACGTGGAAGTGTTCATTTATTTTGCAGAGCTGAAAAGATGCGCCGAAGCTTCCTAGAAGCAGAGTATGATCCAGTCCAGAACAGTGTCAGGATCATAATAATCCTGATTTCTGAAGCACGTAATGCAGAGTGTAACGGTCTCAACACTCACTATACGTAAAGTCCTGTCTTCAGCTCACAGTGACTCGTTAAATCTCTAAACCCTCCGGTGTACAATCCTCAGTTTTCTTCACTGGGGAGTGAGATCTCCTCCAAAAGCTGATAACACAACAGGGTTGACAATTCAAGAGCACAGAACTGTGCACCAGCCCGCTAGATCTTCATTTAAAATCAAATAAAAGGCTTGTTTTTGAAGAAGCCACTAAACCACTCCATCAGCTGAAAACTAGGACCATATTGGAAGTTGATTTATAAAAGTGAAGTGGCCCTCATAAATCAAGCTTGACTCAAGGTTCATCAACTCAAGAAACAGCTTTAAATACATTATGACATATACTCTAGAAAGGACTTAATTTCACCTACTGAACTGACAGGTCACATCCATGATATCTTGACAGAAGCCCCTTGAACGAAGGAGCAGCTCTGCTGGGATCATGCATCCTTCTCACAAGGCCCAAGGCAGCAAAGAGAGAGAAACGGGTATTGCCTAACACCAAGTACGTTCCTAGTCTTTCATGAGCCCTTCTTGTATGATGTTTATTCCTCATTTCATGCTTGGTGTTTTGTAGCTTCTGGAAAGAGCATCTTTGCATGGCAGTGAGAGATGGCTGCATCGGACAATAGTACCGCTCACCAAAAATGAGTATTTATGGTAACCTATTTGCCATGCAGACTGCACTAAGAAAAAGGAAATTTAAATTTGGTCTGACAGAGAATATCAGAAAACAGTGAATGACTGCAGTGGTATCAGAATGTTCCTAAATTCATGACTGCTAGGAATAATCCACTCCTGCATAGATCCAACTACCTCAGCTCAGACAGCTCCACATCAAAACGTCCATCGTCTGTCAGGCTAAGCTTTTCCTCTGCAAACCTCACTCAGATCCCTCCAGCTCTATCTCCTTGCTGTCTTCACACATTAAATACACAAACACTCATCAGCAGGACCATCAGAGTACGCCACTGCAACGCTTCCTGCCCATATTGTGAAACGAAGATGGAGAAGGAAATCACGGAGCAGTTATTAACCATGGATTTCCCTTTTACGTTATGGGCAACTGAAAGATTAACCTCTCTGCTGTACAGTGTACTGTTTTATACTCCATGTTCTTGGATGTATTTTGCTTATGGGAAATATCAAAATGTCAACCATTGTTTCCGTTAAAGGTCTTTAATGATATTGCATTTTAGACCTGTAATGAAACACGGTGCTTGGTGCAGTTCATAATGCATCTCATTAAGTACATTAATAACATGCATTTCACTGAAAGGTCATCTTAGTATTGTTGGGAGTTTGCCTTTTTTTTCCTTAATCACTTTGTTTAAAGCAGTAGAGGTAACTTTAAAGTATCTCACCTACTGTAACTCCAGCTAAGCTGATTAGCTACTGTGTGCAGACAAGGTGTGAGCCATAAGCAGGGAGTCAGAAGTTGGTGTAGAGGCAAGACTCAGGTCAGGTTTAATTATGGAGAAAGTTTCTAACTTTCTAGGCCAAAATTTCACAATGTGAAGGTATCACTGCAGCTCAAACTGGAACACCATAAGGCCGAACAGACACAATCAGCACCAAACCAGGCAGTTCAGATCACATTTCTGTCCCTTTGCATGCAAGGCTGTACACATGATGACAGTGTTTCATACTAACTGGGTGAACAAGAGGGAGCTTCTCCAAACCCTTCAAGATATCACAGAGTGTTTCCCTAGAGAGCTGAAATGCTCTGGAAAGCAAGCAGCCAAGTCCTTCAAGGATGAGAAAGAAGAAATGTACATGAAAGGAACAGCACCAAGCTGGCAAACCAGACATTTGATCTGCCTATTTACCTTTACTTGAGCACCATTACAGAAATTAAATAGATCCATAACTCACTGAGGTTGAGGGCTTTGTACTTATTAGCTGTAGTGTGCATATTGTATTTGTTGTATTGGAGAATCTACTACACGCCTCCTCAGGTCAATATCACTACTACTGTTCCTAAAAAATAAACAGATGAAAGAGCTCCTAGCTGAACGGATACTTGCTGATGATCTGACAGCACAACATAAAGGATAAAATGGGTCACCAACACATATCGACTAAACACGCCTACATGGATGATAGGTGGCACTGTCTGTAGAATACAAAAGCCTTTTTGTTTTGTATTTATAAAGGACCTAATTAATGATTAAAGCAATACAAACCAACAATAAAAACTGATGCTACGGAAGTCAAACTCCTCACTTTCCCATTAATGCTTCTCCATGTAGCAACATTTTGGCTACAGTAGAGTTTATCCAAAGAAAAAATATTAAAGAATTGTTACCGTTCTTGACAGCATCGTCAAATTCTTGTCCACCTTCCTTTTGAAAGGCTGGGTAAGTATCTGGCTGAGGAAGCCTGTTAGCTGTCAGGAGGACTTTCTGCATCTTGATTCTCCCTTCCAATAGGTGATCGCAGAGCGCTTCATAAGAGAAAGGAAACAAAACATTAATTTCACAAGCCAAAGCACTTTTCTTTCACTATCCTATGGTAATGCCTGCAATTCTGTGAATCACAAAAATCATTTCTTTGCTCTATTGTTCAAAAAGACATCCTGCACATGGAGGTTTGTAGTCTAATGAGACAGATTGGAACTGTGTTCTGGAAGGAAGCAGGAGTACCAGCCTCACTGCACAGTACGACAGTGTAGGAATCCCCAGTTCCCACCAAAGCTACAAGTAAATTTGGTACTGTGTCAGTTAAACCAGTGAATAAAAGTATTTCATAATAGCTAAATTTTCTACCAGCAGTGACAACAGTTTGCATAGCACAGCTGGCAGAAGATTTACAAATAACTAAAGGTGCTGTAGCTTATATATGCAGGGAGCCAACAACATGTTATGCTGAAGTGGTTCCTACCGTGGTCAGATGTTCTGCTGTTAGGAAGGCAAAAGTAACATCAGAATACAAGCAAGCTTGTACAAACCTAACTGGTTCTTCACAGCTTTTCCCTTCTCTACTTCTTCAGCCACTTGTCTTTTTGAGAATGTCATCACCCCTCCATCATCTTCACTCTCTTTGGTATCTTTTAAATCATCATGGTTTTCATTCTCGTTTTCCTCCTCATCACTTGCTTCTTCCATGCTGGCATCATCTTCATCTTCCCCTTCACTACTTCCTACATCATCCATCCCCTCTGTAAATTTCTCAAAGTCTGTGATGTTCTGGGAGCTGAACTTTGGTGCCTTGACCTTGGCAGACACATCTTCTTTCTCTTCACCTTCTTCCAAATCATCTTCCTGGTCACTGCCAGCACTGCTGGGTTCCTCCTTTGTTTTACTGCCTAAGCTGCCCTCATCTTCCAAATCTTCACTGCCGTTGGACCATTCATCTAATGCTTCTTCAGCTGATAATTAAGAGAGAACAATGTAATTTAAATACCAGCAACAACTGTCACTCTGCAATATGTATCAACAAACAGGTACTGGCCTGGGCTACTGCAGCTCCAAGCTCTGTTTTAAGTGCTCATCTGGGCACGATGTTACTTTTTGCTTTGGCCAATAGAAACTAATGGAAACACGAGGCCACATCCACAAAGAGATTTCAGACCACATTTTCAATTTAGTGCAGCTGTTTATTCCCCGTAACAGGGATCTAATGTTTCTCATCTCATTTCAGATAGCACTAACTCAGTGTAAGGTGCTAACATTAGATTTGAAGCAGTCTTGTGAGAAGGGAAAAGAAATGTCATTTCTTACCAGATCCTTCTTCAGACAGAGCATCTCCCCAGAGCTCTTCCTGCAAGGCTTTGCGAGATGTGGCTTTTCCTATGTACCTTTTATCAGCTTCCAGGAGAGAGACTGCAGCTTTTTTCCGTATATTGCCAACAGGCAAAATGTCATCTGCAGTTTCATCCTCAAATTTGTCAATCACTTTAGCAACTGTAGCTGTGGAGAGGGAAAAAAAAAAAGGGTCTAAACGAAACTGAATTTCAAACTAGAAGAACTAACTGCAAAGAGCAGCCATCTTCTCCAAGGAAAACTCTCCTCCCGCTCTGCAAATACAAACGTGCAGCAAAGGCAAGCTGGATGGCAACAGAGCTTCTTGTAGCACTTTGGGATCCAGAGCGAGCACACTTCTTGCCCTGGTGAAGCAAAACCAGCACACTAATTCTACGTGATGAGAAGAAAGGTTGTTGGGCAACCAAAGGCAGTGCGAACGCCTCAAAGCTGGGCTTTGTTTAGGTCAACACCGGACCTGTCTAGAAACTACTGAGTGATATATATATATACACGTATATATTTAATACACAAAACCAGGCAAACATAATGGCTAAGCAGAGAAAATAACTTTGCAATGATTATTATTCCCTTTCATACCCTTCATGCCCAGGACACAGGAATGAAGAACGCCACCAAAGAGGACTCCACGTACCATATTTTCTCCTTATTTTCATTCATGTGTGAGACCCCCTCCATGCAAAATTACAGGGTTAGGATTGTTCAACCAATTGAGCAATCCAACTGGCTGAACATCGCTAAGTGCTCATTTTAATGTGTGTTTGCAAATGTTAATGTCTCACATATATTGCTTACTTGCAGGGGGGATGTTTTTAAAGCCAACAGAGATTGAGTCTCATTTCATCACTCTGTGGACACCAAGCTTCAAAGTGGTGACAGAGGAATCGGGAGTCTCCCGAGATGGCTCGGGTGGAAAGTCCAAGTGGTGTTGGAGACACCAGGGCAGCAGGCATCGTTTCTACTACTTTTATGGTTTCTAAACAGAGATGCTCCAAGCACGGTGCTGGCCCCGTGCCCGTGGGGAAGCCCCAGCTCCGAGCAGCCTCCAGTCTGTTGGACCAGCAGGCCCAGAAGAGGCCCCAGGGTCTCGGTGAGGGCCGTCACGGGCAGGGGCTCCTCGACCTCCCCCTCACGAGGGGCTGGAGCCCTTCGCGTGAGGAAGGGACACGCAGGGGCACTCGCGGCCGAGGCCACCTGGCCTGGACGGGCCACCACCATGACGCCATCACCCACGTGCTACCAAAAAAGGGACGGATCTCACCAAAATCACTCCAAAAATATCAGGCCGTTGA